TTCCGCATTTTTCCTTTGAGTTTCGAACTGCGCATGGAAAGTTTTTTGCATTGGAGCTCCTCCTATTTTCAACGCGCGAATGGCAAAGCACTACACAAACACACACACAGAGGACAACAGAATGCTCGCAGATACCCTCGCACACACACAAATAGGAGCTCTCACATACGGCAGGAGAAGCAGCAGCTTCGACTATTTTCGTAGCATACTTTTAGGTGGTGGCTGCATCTTCGTTCCCTCCAATACATATATATACGAGGATGTTGTCGGGCATTATATACCCGTAGATTGTGTAGATTATGTATATATTTATATATACATATATATATATATATGCTCTATGTATATTTATTTACCAACTGTCACTGCAACGGCACGCCCCCTACGACTCCACGGCTCCCCCATGCCGAGCAACACTGCCGCCCACCTGCTCCTCTCAACACGTATATTTCAATTTGTCTGCAGCTGGGAAATTGCTTTTTTGTGCATTTTGTCAAATGAATTTTCCACGTCTCTCACAGGACTTATTTGGAATTTGTTTGCTGCGTCCCGTTTCGTTGATTTATACGCATTATGTGTATTTTTTTTTATTTTATATCTTTTTCATCTCCTTTCTGCTGTTGGCACTAAAATTCTTATCTCGTCGCCAACTAATTTTGTGATTGCATGCTGCGTGAAAGCTAAGAGAGAGAAACGCTCTGAATTTAAATTGGATTTTTGCGCACATTAAAAATGCATTTAAATGGTGTTAGTTATGAATGCATATGAGAAAATACACACCCCTAGATATCAGCGCCTTAAAGAGCCAACAAAACTAGCCAGACCCGTTGCCGAACTACACTAAATGTTTATGTTTCCCGAGCGTTCAGCAAACATTTAGCAAATATTTATACAATACGGAAATAATTGCCTGGCATACCAGCAGTGAATGGAGCCATAAAAACAGGCACTGCCTAGGTCAGCTGACGTGACGACTGGCAACACAACGTACCATACAAAATACCCAAAAAACAATAACAAAAAAATATATGTAACGAAACACTCGTTATGTGGCCATAACATAGAACATGGCTAATTCTTGCATGACAATTTCACATTCATAACCCTTTTGTTTGGGATGTCCGTTTTGCCGGCTGCCAGTGTTCCGACTCATAATTATGCATTCTTCAAGAGTGGGCATAACGAACGTATTAAAAGTTTCTTAACTGGACAATACCCTTTAATACTCCATTACCATGCTCACACATCAATCACGTTTAGAGTTAGCAAAGCTGCTTTAAAGAGGAAAGTCACTAATCACAAAACTTAAACTATTCCACATTTGCTAAATATTTATTGAGATTTAATTGGGGTTAGAGAGTAGATCTGTGTACAAGGTATTTAAAAGTCGAGCACTTACCTCTAAGTTATTCCTACATTTTTTTATATATTTGTTTCACGGCATTTTTGTAAGCCGCGATTTGCGATTGTACATTTCAAGCGCTCTGTTAATTGTTAATTTTTATGGTCTGGCAATTGTTGAAACAACAACAGCAACAATGAAAGCAGCGACAACAATCAGATAAAACCGGCAGCGAGACAGTGTAAACGAAAATGAAGAAATTAAAGTGCCAAGTGCCTGCGCCTATAAAAACAATTTAGCCAGCAATAAAATTCCGAAAATAGCTTCAAATTGAATTTCCAAGATGCGTGCAACGTTTTTATTGATACTAGCTGAATAGACCGGGAGATGGGGCAAGTCATTCTATCTCCACTTGAGCACATGCATATATAGTGGGAACTGGGTCCTTTAGCAATTGGCTGCCAACACCCACAGCTCGGCAAAACATCAAAGCCCAGAGCCAAGTCAGTGAGACCATTAAAGGCGATTCGTTTTTTTTTTTTATATTTTATTATTTCAACCCTTTCACGCACTTACGCAGCTTGAGCAAATATTGAGAGAGAGGGAGAAAGAGAGAAAGAGTGAGGGTTGTGGTACAGAGTGTTTCAATTTTAAAGTAAATATTTGCCTCCAGGGTGCTTTTGATATTTATTACCTTTTTTCAGATAGTGTGTGGAGAGGAGCTCGCATCGATAACACTGGTCAGCAATGGGCATTAGCGTTAAGTGTGTGGCCGAAAGCAATTTCAGGTCAGTCACTAATGGGCTGGTCTATAAATTTTGGGATTTTCAAGTGGTGTTGGTGGTGGTTTCAAGCGACTGTCAATTGGCGACTTTGCAGCTAAATTCAAACAAATTACAATTATGCTGGGAATGCCACAAAAGCCCAAACTGCAAAAATAGACAGCTGACAAATGATGGCAGAAGCTGGGGCGACATTAAGCGATTAACTCGTTGACGATGCGATGGGGGATTGGGAGGGAGAACTTGGGACAAACTTAACATATTGTTAACGTGGGCAAACGGCATGTTAGGCACCGATGTCTTAAGGGGATTTCAATGTCCTTGCCTGATGATGCGTTGACTGTTAACTGTTGACTGTTTGGTTGCTTGCTTGTTTGGCTGGCCAATGACATGCAAATGTATGCAGATCTGCGCTTTTGTCATGTCAACGCAGGCAAATCGAGAGGTAACCGAACATTTTTCTAACCAACTCAACTTGTCGCTGGGATTTTTTTGGGTTTTCGTCGGTATTTTGGTATGCCAGGTTCGATTTTTTTTTTTTATTTTGTATAAATTGTACTCCTTTTTGGATATTTGCTTAAATCTGCGCGCATGTTTTGTGTGGCATATATAAAAAATGCAAAATAAATGCGTAAATCTCGGTAACTGAATGAAAGGGGCCAAAAAGCAGCAGCAGCAGCAGCTGCGGAACTGCTTTTCGGAATGCGGTGCGGGGAGGGGGACTGTGAAGGCAAATGGTAAATGTGTCTGCAAAGTTTTTTTGCAGGTGCCATGTCTTTGTGTGTCTGGCCGATTTCAGTTTCAATGCAGACGAGCAACAACAACAACACCAACAAGCAGGACAACAACGAGCAGAGACAGTTCATCAACTTGACTTGTGATTTCCGGTTTTCTTTCTTCGGGTTTTTTTTTCTTTTTTGTTCCTCGTTACTTACTTTAAAAGCGGATTAGGCAGAGAGACAACGCCCACGGTGGCATGAGACAGGAAAAGGCTTAACGTGCATGTCTGATAGTTGAGTTGGGTATGCAAAATACAGAAAGCTAAGAACTAACTGCAAATGCCAAGGCAGACTAGAGCAAATGAAGTGAGAAGCGCAGAGAGAGGCTTAAGGTAAGTAGCTGAATATCTTAAGAAGCAAAATGGAAAAGCTGTGTTAGTAAAAATCATAAGAAAAATCGTAAGAAGCAACTTATTTTCTCAATAATTACCGTTAAGACTCTTCAATATTTACAGAAAGTCTACTTAGGAATCTAAGCAGACTATATAAAATGAAGTGATATTGGAAGAAATAAGCTTAAGTTAAAATGGAAAAGCTGAGGCAGTAAATAGTTTGCTACAACATTTTATATAAATAGGGAAACTTAACTTTTATTCTATGATCTACCATTTATTATATTAATCTGTTCGCTTATTTAATTTTCAAATAAAAAATCTACTTTAAAAAAGTAGAAGCACTCTTATGCATAGCTCAACAGCTGCCACAACGTGTTTGCAATTCTCACATCGGGAAACATGTTTAGAAACCATCAAAACTCCCACCATTCTCACTCGGAAAGGTGTGTGCCACAAATCCCACCACTCTAGACCACATACATTTATATACATATATATATATATATACATATAGCTGCTATAGCTGCTATATTCGCGGCACACAGCCAGGCAGCAAAAACAAAATTTCGAGCGTAGAAAAAATAAAGCGAAAATGTTTTAACGCATCGCCGCATAATGACAACAAACAAATCGCTTCATTTAACAAATAAAAGCTGCCGGCAGCAATGCCAAAGAACAAACAACAACAATAACAACAGCAACAAAATCGAGTACGACGCCAATAAAAACAATTTACGGCACAAAGAATTTTCAACTGAAAAAATAATCGCTTATTGAACACGTCGCCAACGCTGAGGTAAACAAAGACACACGGTAAATGTGCCACGCCCATTCCACACTCTCAGGCCAAGTGGAACGGAACGAAAGCCAAGTGCGGCACTTGTCTTCGATGCAAGATTGGACCACGGATTGTGCCACAGATCACACAAGCGTGCATATTTGGCAATTAGAAATGGATGCCATAGCTCAAACCGGGGCCGGGCCCAACAGGTGTGTGTGTGTTGATATATGTGTGTGCGTGTGCCCATTAATTATGCCATGTCGTAATTGCCACAGCAGTGGGCGTGAATCGGGTGCAGGCAACGCATGAGCATTTTGCTGCAACTACTATCTTAGCTAGACGTTAATTAACAACAAGCCGGCCTACAATAGCCAAACTGTAATTATCAAGATAATAACCACAATACATTTATGAGCAATGGCCTCCGAGCACGCAGCAACCATTTAGCGAGTATGTGGATAAATATATATTCTCTATAAATATATATATATAACAGTTGGCACAGCTGAAGTCGAGTTGGCTGAACCCAATTATCCATTTGTTTTGAGAGAGATAACAGACGCATAACATATATATACATCTGCATAGTAATAACTACTCATAAATTTATTTACGAGTGCTTTAATGACGTCTGAAATAAACTACAAGTAGTCATTTCATTCACAATGGTTTGCTATTGAGCCTTCGGCAAAGTTCTTCGACTATATGCAGTCATTCTAAAGGCATTCTAGGGCAGAAATTTGTTTTGTGGTTGCTCATATAATATTATTGTATATACGGCAACTTAATTATGCAGCGACCCAGAATTTCAGGGGGTTTGACTCGAAAACTTGAATTGCGAGCAGAGAGTTCCAACTGTGACTACAAACCAATGCAATTGCCTTAGTTATTCAATGAGCCATATACTATTGGAATAGTAAACCCCAGCGATAACGTCTACTAATCAGCAAACATGAGCGATCGCTCATCCAAAGGCAGTCAGCAAATAGTCGTCCGATCGAGAGGTATGCATTTAAAAATTGTGCTGCTTTTAGCCTGTCTTGGCCTGGCCAAAGGAGTGGAACAGGTGCGATATGACAACTACAGGCTATACAAAGTGCGCATCGATGATGAGCAGCATTATGAGTTGCTCAATGCAAATGAGAAAACTCTAAAGGTAAACTAAATTCTGTTATAGAATCCTTTTGAAAACCGCATCCTCCCTTTAGTTTAACAACTGGCAAGAGGCGCGTCATCCTGGCGAATCCTCGGACATAATGCTGCCACCTGAAAGTCAGAAGGCTTTCGAAAATCTGCTGAAGAGCAACAATTTCAACTATAGCATCAAGATTAACAACGTTCAACGCCTGATCGATGGACAGCGTCCAAAACTGCGGACAGGACACATGGAATGGACGCAGTACCACACGCTGGCAGAGATCTATGCCTGGCTGGATGAGCTTGAAGCGCGTTATCCACATATTATCACACCTTTCACCATTGGCAAGTCGTATGAAGGTCGCATCATACGTGGCATCAAGATATCCCATAAGCCGGGCAACGGTGCCGTCTTTATCGAGTCCAATATTCATGCTCGAGAATGGATTACCTCGGCCAGCATCACTTACTTCATAGATGAGCTGCTCGTGCCTCGCAATCCGGCTGTAAGAGATATTGCCCAGAACGTGGACTGGTACATAATTCCGGTGCTGAATGTGGACGGTTTTTCCTATTCACATGAAGTGGTTAGTGATCATAAATTACTAGGTGGCATGATATTTGTGTACTACTTGGTTGTAAAAAGATAAGATATTGTATCCAAACAATATAGGTGGCGACACGATAACGGAGCCTAATCAACTTCTATGTAATTTAAAAAGCCATAAATTGCTATAATTAATTTAACAATTGGTTTATTAGGAACGTCTCTGGCGCAAATCGCGTTTACCCTCGGATCCCACTGGCGAATGCATTGGAACAGATTTGAATAGAAACTTTGACTATCGCTGGATGGGTGAGTAGCCAAAGATATACAACTTTTCAAATGAATGTCATTCATTATCTTTATCAAAATTCTCTAGTGATTGGCGCTTCAGATGATCCATGCTCACAGACCTATGCAGGCCCCTTTGCTGAGTCCGATCCGGAGATAAGCCAATTGACCAGTTACATTAATAACCACATACCAGATGGTACTATTAAAATCTATATATCCCTACATTCCTATGGCCAATATTTGCTATCGCCTTGGGGTCACACCGCTGAAGAGTTTCCCGCGCACTATCCCCAAATGATGGGCGTTGCCAAGGGATTTGCCGATGCTCTGATCAGACGTTATGGAACCGTATTTACCTATGGATCAAGTGCCACAACTCTCTGTAAGTGCCACCTAAAACTTCTATAAACTCAAGAATCATTTATGTTGAACTATTTTAGATCCGGTTTCGGGTTCGGGCAAGGAATGGGCCTATGGTGTCATGAACATAACCATACCGTATACAATCGAGCTGCGTGATAAGGGCGATTTTGGCTTCCTACTGCCGCCAGAGGACATTATACCTGTGGGTCGTGAGGTCACCGAGGGATTTGTGGGCATGATAGCTGCTGCCCGGGGAATTGGTGTCTTTGATAGCCTCGATTTAAAATAAAAGAAAATATGAACAAACATGAAGAAAAAACGACTAGAAATTCTTGGTCATAATTCATACTTATAGCCCAAAACCTTGACATCCTCCCAACATAACTTTGGTTCACTGCATATGTGAAGGCTGTCCGGAATGTTCCAACAAGCAAATTGAACTTGAGGTAAACATGCAACTTCCTTCCTAGCTGGGCTTTCCTTGGCTTATCCTTGCGGACACATTTTGTGGCATGGCATGCAAAGTTGCCATTTCATACAGTTGTGTGGTGCACCTTAGACATTTTAAGGCTAATTAAATCCACAACATGTGACTATGGAAAAAAAAAGAAAAACTGTGAAACAGGGCAAATGCTAAACACTTTCCGGCATTGACATTTTTTCCCAGTTGCGCATACGCCACGTCCGTCAGACAGGTTAGCCAAGTTAAGTTTAGATTTATGTAATGTCAATGGTTTTTTTCTTCTTTCGTTTGTTTTCCACAATTAACGAAAGCACTGCGAAAAATGCACTCCAGGAAACGGCTGTCCGTGATATTTATGACATTTTAAAGGCTGCCATCCGGCTGGTAGCTAACAAGCCGAAGGAGTCGCTGTCTTAAAGGCACTTCTGGAGAGTATCCTTGCCACCGCAGGACCAATTAAAAATGCGGTGCTTGCTTATCGCACGCGCACCCACGACTTTTCTTTGCCTTCAAAGTTTTACTGAATTCGCACGCATCTCCCCTCAGGCCCCCTAAACCGCAAAAGGTGTTGAAAGTTTTTGGCTCAACTTTACGCCAGAGGTGCGGCGTGGAACGGGCCGGAACGGGCTTTAATCCGGCTTGCTAGCTTTATTGCGCTGATAAGAAATTAATGTCCATGAATTTATTGGTGCGAGTCGCTGCCTGCCGGCAATTAGCGCTCTAATCAAATAAGCCCCAACTAATTGTTGTTAGCTGTTGCGACTTCAGCCTGAGTTCGAGCTAAGTTAAGTATTTTTTGTCTAAGAGCACCAGACTCCATTTAATCAACAGCATTAAAAAGAACTACATTGTAATGATTTGAGTTATTCATCTAAACAAAGTGTTGAAGCCATCTTATCGTAACAGACTATCTATATATGATTTTCAGAAGAAAATCACAAAATGCTGCAAGTAATCAAAAAACAACTTATCTAAAAATTTGATTTCATTTGGCAGTACCAAAATCATTACCAACATTTAAGTTAAGATTTAGTTGCATTGTTAACAGCTAAGATATAAAAATAGCTTTTTGAATTTATCGTAGGAAAAGAAATGAAAACCAAGTACTTAGTTTCTACCCCTACGCACTTCACTTCGCTTGAGTGCCACACATTTCATTTTGATGCGACTTTTCTGGTTTCAAGTTGCCACATCTAAAATGAAAACCTCACACCCCGCAAAAGTGTTAATAAAAAGCACACGTTGACGCACCTCATGCGGTGACAACGACAGAAGACAGGACAAACTACAACGCCAGGAAGGAGCTCTCACTAATACCCGCGCAAAAAATATGACCAAGGAGCAAGCAAAAGTCCTTTAAGCACTCGCCACAGGACAGGACAACGCCAAGCATTCAACCAAAAAGAAAAGAAGAAAAAGGCCTAAACAAAATTTCGCACTAATGCCGGGCGACAAGTCAAACAAGGCTGAAGGCTCTGAAATCTTCGCCAGCGGGCGCTGAATTTATGTGCTCCGGGGCGGTAACTTCATTATGCAGTGACCTACAATGAAATGGGCTGCCGTTGCACAAAATTTATGTGCAAAGTTGAGAGACAGCCTAAGTACCAAGGGGCTTGCCCAGACAACTTGAAGTTGCCTTTGCTCCACGCGGACAACCAGCACAGCAAAACAACCAGTTGGAAAAAGTGCCCAACTGTGTTAAAAAACAAAATCAAATTGCTTTCAATACTCAATGAGCCATACAGATGATATAGACGATTAATGATAACGTCTGATAATCAGCAAACACCAACACAATGACTGACCCCAAAAAGCAGTTCTTAATCTAGTGGTTTGCAGTTGTGCAAAATTGTGTTGCTTTTGGCCTGTGTGGGACATGCTAAAGGATTGGAGCAAGTGCACTTCGATGATAAGCAGCATTATGAGCTGCTCCATGCAAATGAGAAAAGCTTAAGGGAAAGCTATGTTCTGTCAGAGAAACCTTTTGAAAACCGCCTGCCTTTTTCAGTTTAACAGCTGGCAGGAGGCACGACATTCTGGCTACCACCTGAAAGTCAGAAGGCTTTTGAAGATCAGCTACACAGCTTCACACATTGTCACATCCATAAAGATATTCCATAGGCCATCTTCAGTGAGTCAAAAATTCACGGAAACGAATGGATCACATCAGCTACGATCACAGCCCAGAATAAGGACAGGTGCTAAACGTCGACGGTTTTGTCTACTTGCATGAAATGGTAAGTTCTGGTGAATTATTTGCTTGCGACATATAATAAACTGCTTGGACTAATGCTTATAATAGTAATCAAATCGATATACTAATATAGATTAGATTATATCAAGCCAATGATTTTATAAAACTCTATTTAGCTTTCTCAACTTAAATAACTACTGATTATGGTCAGTAATATGATGATGAACCTTTAAGGTACGTCTAGATTGGTGAGTAACTCCTATGATGATTTGAATTGCATTTCCCCAATGTTCACTAACAAATACAATGCATAATTTTACTAAGTATTATGTTATTGAATTTTCAACATTATTTATATTTTAATTGATTCTTTCAGATATAAGGTCACCCATGCTGATATTATTCTCAATCCAATCTGACGATAAAACAATTCGCGACCAGAAAGTAGCATTAAAATCATGTATAATTTCTATATATATATTCTTATAGATCCAGTGCCACTACACTCTGAAAACCCATATATTTTTATAGCTGCCGTATTGGCATACAATCGAGGTGCGTGACAGAGGTGAAAATGGTTTTGTTTTGCTTCCAGACTATAACTTACCTGTGGGACGAGGGGTCATCGAGGGATTTGTGGGTCTTTTAGCAGCTGTCCGGGGAATTGGTGTCTTGTGAGCAACTTAGCACTCAATAAAAAAGCAAAAAAGCCCCCGTTTAAAAGTTATACACAAAGCAGCCCCCACTGACAGTTGCCCAGTTGACAGACGGCGCCACTGTGTTCGCTGAGCTTTTGCTCCGCCCCAAAAACGAGCAGCGCGCCGAGGCTTCCAATCAGCGACGAGGAAAACGAATTGTGCCGAGCTCTGCCCGTTGATAAGGAAGAGCAGCTAACAGCTAACGGTTGCATTTCTTTTAGCTGGTTTTTTTCCCCCCCTTTTGCTCACTGACAGCTTTTGTTCTGCTTTTGGTTTGTGTGTGTGTGTTTTTTTTTTATGCTTTGGCTTGAAGTGTGAAAGGCGCCGTTGGTTGGCAAGTCTCCGCCTATTTTCAACGCGCGCGCAGCATCCTTGTTGGATGGCAGAACTCATCATGCATGCGAGGCGAGGGCACACACACACACACACACTACTGTGTGTAACTGAAGTGTGTAACTCAGTGTGTGTGTGTGTGTGTGTGTGGCGTTTGGGGCTCCTACTCGTATGCGCGTCAGCAAACAAAAATAAACGCAACGAATGGGAAACGACCAACGAAAATCTTCAGTTGGCGACAATATGGCGTCTATCTCGCCTTATATACCAATATGTACAAGTATATAGATATATATGTATATAGACTGGTCACATAACGGGCATCGTCATGTCTATTATTATTGTTGTTGCTTGCACTTATTTTTTTTCAATTTGTCTAATGAAATTGCTTTTCCACTTGCACTGCAAAAGAGCCACGCCAAAAAAAAAAAAAATAAAGGTATAAAAAGAAAATCTTGGAAAAATTCGAGAAAATATCACGTTGACACTTTGCGGTGCTCCTTGGATGCATATACGTATTTATAAGATATACATATGTATATGGATGTGTGTGTGTGTGTGTGTGAGTGCCTGTGTGTGTGTGTGCCTTTTTTACTCACTGCTCATTCTGCATATAAATTGAAATTTACGAGAGTCGCTTTTCTCGTTGCTGCTGCTGTCAGTTGCACCTTTATGACAATTTTCCTTGCTGCCACTTTTCTATTTTACTTTATTTTCCCTGCTTTTTTTCAACATTTCTCTTGTAAAGGTGTTGCGCATATTGCACTGATGAATTTTTCTCTTTGAGTTATTCAAGGATCTGGCTGCAGGAAAAGCGGAAGAGGTGTCGCCTGCTGGGACAGCGACAATAAAAACTTACTTAGCCAAATTGCAGCAAAGCAAATGAAGATTATATGAAATTTGCCTAATAAAATTGTCCAAAGCAAATCAGTTATGGCCAAAAGGGAATTAACTAGTCCAAATGGATCTTAAGTTAGGAATGTCGAAAGCATTACAATTTTTAGCCAACTTAGTTAACTACCATGTGGAAGGAATAAGTCAAAATTATATCGAACTATAAAGATATGCCACGAAAGATAGATATATTTATATATCGTTGAAATCAATCAACTGCCATATATCCAGCTTAGGCATTGCTTACTTTTCCAAAAGTTGTTCTTATCGATATTTTATGTTTTTAACAAATGTTTAAGCACATTCTTCAATAAATAGCCCTGAAAGGTTGATACTATCTGCTCCTTCTGTGGTTAAACAACCTATATACCTTTTTGTTATACAGTTAATGGATGCAGGTTATGGTCAGGCAATATGACATTGTTTGACAGGCTGATTCTCATTCATTAGAAGTTCGTTCCGGCTGCGAACCAATTATGAAACGCAGTCACAAAGTCGACCACTCTAATTTGATAATTCAATTCTGCAATCAATGTGGCTGCTGAATGCTGACAGCCAATCAAAAATCAAATCAAATGTTCAAATCGTTGGCTTTACACATGGCCAAGCCCAAAGCCCCCAAAGAGACAGCCCCAAGACCGAAAACGCTTTAATTGCTGCCAAGGCAATAAACTTCAACGGCAATTGACGCTTGACACTTGAGCGCTGAGAACTGAGAATTGAG